CTTAGCACTGTGCTAAGCCAATGACGTTCGACCGGTATGAGCAGCTTAGCGTCCTTATTGATCCTATGTTCGCCCAGCCCGTCCACTTGAGTCCAGAACATCAATATCAGCTTCCACTATGCGAATCGAATCATTTATTTCAGACATACTGGGTTTATATATCAACCAAACAGATCGCAACGCACCATAAAATAGGAAATAACATTTGTACACAATAAAGCAAAGCTTATAACAAGGAGAATATATATTTATACCATGAGGATATATAAATAATTTTAGTTCATTAATAGTCCTCGGGAGTTACCCGTAATTTAATCTTCACCAGGATATAACACTTTTTGCTCTAAGAGTACCAGTATCTATTGCGTACATCTGTTGTGATACTTCTGACCTATAATTTCAATTCCTATTATTCTTCAAGCAATAATGAATATCCGAACTCTCATCATCTTTCATGCTAAATACATTTAACTCGTAACCTCATTAAAAGTATGTAACCGTCCAAATTCAAATGAAATGTTAGAGAGTGCGATTGGAAATTATTCAATTGTTCTTTAAGTGATGTTAAAGCGGTATAACATGGAAAATAATCTGCCATTATAATCATACAGTAATTGGAAAATGAAGAAAAGGCCACCTAAAAATAATTTGAGTTTCAGTGTTATTGCGACTTCTCTGTCTTGCTAAAAACTGAGGAAATTAGGTACTTATATTTTACATTGCATTTACGGTCTTTCTGCCTCTGTAAATCGAATGCTGTTGGCATACAATTAGGATTGTTATATTCCGATGAGAATAATGGTTAGTATATTTTTATTGTGTAATTGTTAAGTAACTAATCTATTCATATTCGTGTTCCTCTTATCATAAGCTTTATTTTCACGTATGGAATATTATTATACGACTTACCATTCTTGAGTTGTGCCTGGTCTATCAATTACTACCTCCCACATTCACACTCACTTTTGGCTAAGTCGTGTACAAATGTTGTTTCCTATAAATGATTTATATCGCAGAGGCTGAGATTTGTGTTCTGGACTTAACAGGCATGGCTGTGCGGGAAGCAGGACCCAGAGGGACTCTAGACTGCTCGTACGGGTTTTATGCTTCATTGGTGTGGTCGGTAATTCACTGTTCTCTAATTGGCGGTATCATTACGTCATGCATCAGCAGGACACAAGTTATAACAGATTACATTTGCAATGTTTTTTAGCAAATTTGTCTTGCATTTATTTTGGATATGAATAGCAAAAACCGAACGAGCATGCAGTTTTACCGAGACAATTTCGTGCTTAATAACATTATTGTGAACGAGAACACAGGTTGGGACAACCAATGTATTTTAATACAAAATTACAGAATGTCTTAGTGAAATATAAGGACTATACATTCAGTACTTCATTTGCAAAGTTCCATCATTTATCCTCATTATTCTGTATGATTCTTCCTATTCGCCATTCCTTTCTATTCTCTTCTGTTATCAGTGCTGCCGATTGGTGTTACATACTACTTATGTCTGTCAACATTAGCGGCATACACTACAATATTACTTGAGAATTTGTAAAACTACTAATGAGGTTATTATAAAGTGTCGTTGCACTTGTTATCCAACGTTATATTGACATGATTATCACAACAAACTTATCGTAATCAGTTGAAATATATCAGTAAGCAAATGGTAATAATTTTACAGTATAGCTTATCGGAATTATTCTAATAGCGTATTTGGAATTTCACATTTTCATTTATAAGTAATTAACTAGTAGACTTTAATAGTACTACTTCTAAAATTAGTGAATCTATGGTGATCAGTTATTTAACAAATATCCGTTACATCAGAGTGATTTTCTGAACAGTACTTACACTTATTGTAATATGTGATAATGATAAACTGTGAATATGAGACGTACAGTTATTTTACAGTACGAAAATTTTTATTCTCATAACTTTCACCATACTCTTTATCAGTGGTTTATCCATCAGTTAATAATAAGAAACACGTAAATTATCATGAGCGTTTGCCTATATTCGCTTAAGCGTGTAATACAATATGCAATAGAATAGATCATATCATAGCCCGTTTTAAACGTTCAAATATCAGGATTTGGCATAACAGCCAAACCAAAAGAGAGAATACTTTATGGCTAACTGATATCATCATGAGGATTAATTGAATACCATGAAGCAATGGACAGCTGTTTCGTACTTCCTCGTGACCCCTCAGATATTTCCACTAACGTCACACTGAACATTTATTGTTTGTTACGAGCACGATGCACTCCAACTACAAATTTGGGACATCCATTTAGATTTCATAACAGTTGGTTTGCGATAAAAGATGGTTTTCATTCAATATAATCCTTGGAGACTGCTGACTCTACATCACACTTCCCACTAATAATTTATGAGGCTCATCTTACTTTTCGACTACACTTCATATCAGTTCAAACAATCGATCCCACAAATCTGATTATTTTCCATAAATTTAAATAATAGTTGGCAGTACATCTAAACACCAGTTATATTGTGTATGGTAGAATACTGTTTTCAAAGTCGTTTACTAAAATCACATAAATCCGAAACATTGTTAACTGATGATAGGATGGGAGAGAAATAATAAAAAACTACTGTTTACTCACTGGGACCCGTAATGAGAAAAATAGAGTATTGTGAGTAACGTTGAAATTGTATTCTATGTCTAGTGTTTATCTAAACGAGACAATTCAATCATAATCAATTATCTTAAGAAAAATTTGACATAAGAGATTATGGTTTTAAGGAAAGTTATTTTGAAGGACAAAAACTAGGAAACAATACTAAAGCTCAATATTTCAGAACAAGATGTCATGTAATAGTATCACTCATAGCGATTGTGAGATACCAACGACGATCCTAAACAGTCATTAACTTTATGGATTGATACGTCACTTTTAGGTAAGGTAAAGAGCCGCTTTAAAGTGAAGACAGTAAAGAAGATCTACAAAACAAACAAAAGATAAAAAGACTAAGAAGTATCATACTCTGTATTTTTTGAGGGTTGTCAGCTTGAATCCTTACAGCATTATGAGGTGAGAATGAACGCCATCCCGAAAATTGGATGACTGACTTATCACGTGATCATTATCGACTGGTTGTGATAGAGTATTAAGTCACTCATTGACTCGGCTAGACCCTGTAGAAATCGAGAAGTTAAGTACTCACTAGTTGCGTGGTCCTATTCTAGATATAGCTTTTAACACAGAACAACTGGGATAGTAGGTACACATAAAAGAAGGGAAACCAGGTAAATTATAATATCGGTTGCTATGCTAAGCCCATATAGCTTAGTCTAGCTTCCGGACAAGCCAGTTTACGTATTTTCCCTGAGTCATATTTTGACTTTTTCGCTTATTAACCTTGACTGTTTTTATATGAGCGTATGTGTGCACTTCTTACTCTATTCATCACGTATCTGTAACTTGTTTTTGTTCGGCTATAAATATCGATCAACTCGTGAATAAATATAGTTGGTTCATACGCCCTCTACACCGCACATCGTTTCACTCCGTTTCTTCGATCGTTTGTCTCGATTAACAATTGTACGAAATACACGGATTTGAAATTCATTCTCGTATTTGACTTATTTAATTCCGTTATACACTAATATGAGTTAAGTCGATGATTATATACGAGAATAGTCAGGATATTTCGACAGCAATTATTTGATAATCAGAAACGATATAAATGGAGTCAGATATAAGGCCACTAAAAACTTATTATTTAGCTGAAGCATTACTTTTAGTTGACTACAAAAAGATAGACTGAGACTAGTCTTTTTCACTGCTTTCATTGATTTATAATGTAGCACATTGCTAGTTATAGCTTCATTACAACGAATCCTCAGAGAGGTTTACAAACAGTATATATATATATATATATATATATACCATCCTGTTCACTGTATACAAATACATCTTCGAGAACCTCGTTGTCAAATATTTAAGTCAGTATAAATTTTAGAAAATTTAGTTCTTTGTCTGTAGTGTTGCCTGAGAATATATTTCTAGCTCGTGAGTATCTGGTTAAGTTTTTCCTGTAATCAATGGATAAGAAGACGTTTATATTGAGATATAGATGAACTTTTATAGGTACACTTATACTGACAAATCCACCTTCTGTTTTGAAACAATTTCGGGGAAATAAAATCTGTCGAGTACCTCCTCATAAATGTAATTAACTTTCAAGTTTACACTGTTAAGTTACCCTAGGAGTTCTTATATAAAAATCTGATGAATGTAGCAGCGGCAAAAATCAAGCTTATCAATTACCTTGAGGGTCTCATTTCCTGATTTTGTAAAATATCTATTGAGGTAGGGTTTGAACGCGAACCTTCTATTCCATCAGCCTGTTTATTGAGTGTTATTAAAGACGAGATGAGCGTTCAGTATGCATCTTGAAAGCAATTCCTTAGGATTAATAAAGGAAATTCTGATTTGCTGTTTTGTTGGTTTCTGGCACAAAATGCTAACTATATCAGTGAATGATAAATTGATGGACGAAGAAGTAATATCTAGAGATATATGCTTCCCATCTAAGTGAATATATTAAAACCTGGAAATGAGATCGGATGTTTGCTTAACGTTTTTATTAACATAAGACTACAAAGATTCCGAGGTCGGTCTCAAAGAATGAATTATATCCGCATTTTACAGACCAGATAATTAACATAGACTACCTCGAAAAATGCTTTTACACAGGTCGACTACATATTGATTGTCATTATCAGTTGGCATTATAAAACAACCCACTAATCCACAAAATTACCTAATCTAGTTATAAAATACATAAGAAAATGTAAGTTAGATAGTCACTTTGCCCAATATTGAAAGTCGTAAGTGAAGACGTCCCTATGGCTATTCGAGATTGATTACAATAACAAGAACCCTTTACCAGTTAAGTGGTATAACTTAAGGCATATCAACATTATTGCTGAATGTAGTTGTTAACCAGATATATAATCAGGGTAACGACACGAAAAGGTTTAGAGAACTAATATTGTAAGAGTATTACAAAGTCTATTATGACTGAAAACCAGTCATATTTAGCGTAAGGCCTGCCACGTATGTGCATATGTTCAGTTTGCCACTACACATAACAGTGAGATACCACAGTTGTATAAAAATTAACAGTAATAATAGAACAGATTAGTCGTAGACGATATGTTTGGGAAAACATAGGTTCGTAGAACAAGAAAACCAGGAAATTTATCATCTAAAGGAAGACAAAGACTGAATACATCAGCGCTACGGAGAACTATTCTGAGCCTTGTCACCCAACGTCTCTAACCACGACTGACCCCCCTTATGGAGAAGTGAATGAGGTAGGCACTATCAATACCCTCAAAACTTGTAAAACACGTGCTCTCATGAGTGTATTAGTTGTCATCACTTCTTAACGAAAGCTATTTTCAAAGCTACCAAGTGTTAAAGGATATAAACTTGAGTATTTTCAAATAATTGGAAAGATGTTAACATGTAAGTAAATTGTTGTAAAAGCTTCGTTACACAATTTTTAAATAATATTTAATACTCTAGATAATTTGAAAAAGAAGATAAGCAAACTCGAAGGAGTAAAATAAATTACGAACTAATGAAAAGCACTTTGTTCCCAGAGAAGAACGAGAAATAGAGGAGGGATCGGTCAGATAAGCATTGATTTAATCTGGAGGTTTCAAGTTATATTTACATGAATTATTCATAAATTGATTAGTTATGCTTTCATTAGTAGAACTTTGGGAGGTGAATTTATTTGATTCTTTTGTTAAACAATTTGTAAGTATTTCTGACGAACTATTGTTTGTATTGACATTTAAAAACCCCATTAAATAAGGATTATACGAGTTTGAAGTTGGTGTATTTAGTGAGCCGTTTAATACATTTCCTGAAGTTGATGTAACATAATGAACTGAATTTAACTGTGGAACTAAAAGTAATTGATTTGTGGCCATTTGTGCAGTTAAAAGAAGGCTAGAGGATAACGGGGTTAATGAGAGAACATTTTGTGATGGAGATACACTAACTGGGACATATACCACTTTTTTACATTCAGATGAGTTGGAAATGTTAGTTATCTGAGAAATATTATTACAAAACGCTTCATTATTTAACGATACAATACGACCATTTTGACCAGAATCTATTAGTGTACTTGGGATGATACCAATACGATGCTCCAATTCATCAACATGATTTTGATTTAACACTTTGGAAACTGCGTCATTTTGTAACGTTGAGTTCACTTTACTATCTTTATTGGATACATTTTTTAAATCACTAACGTATTCCTTTTTACCAAATGTATCATTGTTAACAATAACTGTACTATCTTCCTTCTTGCAACTTTTCCGACTATTTACATTTTTATTAACTTGCGAACTGCTCAAATCTGGCTGATCACTTTTCATCGATGAATTGTTTGGATTCACAGATGAACTTAGACAAGTTTGTATTAACTTTTTACCACATTCCAACTCAATAATACCTTTTAATCTTTGTGTTGCAAACGTATAAACATGATTTGTTTCTGAAGCAACAAGTAATAATACTTCTGCACCGGTTAATTCCGCCAATTCCACAGCCTTTTTCATAAGTCCAGTTTTACGTTTTGAAAAAGTAGAATATCTCTTCGTACGATCAGAAATAAATTCAATAGGTATCTTTTGTTTTCCTCTAGTTAGTTTTTCACAAGAATTACGTTCGTCTGTGAAAGGTTGTTGGGCAATCATATCAGTGATACCATTAACGTTGGTGTATAATCTGCGTTTACTACCAGGTGGATGAATATTAGAAAACGATGTATCATCATTAACTTCAGAAATATTGATCAACTGAACGCTATTATTTCCTAATTGTGAGTCTAATTCACTGTCACTAGTAAAATTATAACTGTTATCTCCGCTGTTTGACAAATTTTCTGGGCATTCACTGATGAATTTGTAAACATGAGGTGAGGACTCTGTAAAATATATCCCATTATTGACCGAACGAGCAACACTCTCCATAGTTCCCATACTTTTCCTAGTAAAAAAATAATAAGCTGAATACTGATTTAGAAAAAAGTTTATATAAAAATCTAGACCATACATAACATGCGGAATCAGGTTATATTGTTAATTGATGTAAAATTTTTTGAAAATATTCGGAATTTTATTTGTTAAATGGAATTTTAAACTAATTGAAGAGTAATATAGGACACTTTTTAAATAAGCAGATATTAAAAAAGTAAAACCTTACACGTACAGACTGGTTCTCTGTTCAGTAAGTCAGTAACAACGTGGAACTTCGTACGTACGTACATCAGTTCGAGTTGCCACACTGCATTAGCACAGAGATACAGTTGTCGATTCAAATCCCGTAGTGGTAGAGGTGGTAAGAGTATAAGCAGCAATAATCGGAAAGATTAGGGTTTGAAGATGTTATTCAAGGAGTATAATTCAGTGGAATAAATTTGGAAAGAGGAAAAAAGAGACATGAATAATTGAGATTAGAATTTGGGAGAACACAAAGAGTAGATGCACCTGAACCATTGCAAACGATTTTGAGCCATATCATTCAGAGTCACCAACCATCGCTTGCTATCATCTCGCGGATCCCAACCAGGTAGTCTACACCTACTAACATGGCCCAGTCCACTTGTCAATGACTCCATGGATTTGTGTCATGTTTTGGTCTGACCGCCCCTAGCTTTCTTCCAACCTACTCCTACACCATAAAACATCGCACGTCGGGGCGGTCAGTGGATGGGCATGCGTAACACATGTCCCAGCCATCTCAACTGATGAAGTTTCACTACTTCATCAATTGATTTGCCATCCTTACCTAGTACCCGTTTCCTAACAACTGCGTCACTTACTCGATGGTCCCAGGATATACGAACAATGTTTCGAAGACATCTATAATCAAATACTAGTAACGTACAAATATCCTCTACTCTTACCGGCCATGTTTCATTGCCATAAAGTAGGACGAACGAACTGCTGCGCAGTAAACCCGTTATTTGGTTGGTAGATGGATATCTTGCCTACGCCATAAATGACGCAGGTTGGCAAAAGCTAGTCGAGCTTTCTGTATCTGTGCTGGAATTTCGTCACACACCAGACCACAAGGGCTGATGAGACTTACAAGATAAGTGAAGTGGTCGACATGCTCAACTACTTCACTCCCTATCACTAGTCCGGGTGTCGATGCAACCCAGTCCTGAAACAACATTTTGCATTTCGAGGGAGAAAATTGCGTGCCGAACATACCTGCATTGTTGCTTGTAGTGGTTAGAAGACTGCATTTTGTCAGCGTCTTCACCAAAGGGAACTATGTCATCGGCATATTCTAAGTCAACAAGTGAATGTCCCGTTAGAAGTTCAACCCCTGGAAATTTAGATGAGGAAAGTGTCATCTCTAAAAGTACCTCAATGATGGCCGATGACTATCTATATAGGTACTTAACGCTTCAACATTATTTCATTTCTAATTTCAAATGTGTTGATACCAATAGGTTTTGATAATCTCTTATTTCATTTAGTTTATATAAATCTCGAGAATTTCGAGATTCCTGTCAGAGATATTGAGAAATTTCGGGATTTTCGTTCTAAATAATCTCCGAGTCAACAAACATATGGGAAATCGGACATACTCGAATTATATCAACAAGATCGATAAAAGCAATTAAAAGCCAAAACATCTGCTAACATATAACAGCTTGTCATATATTCTTAGATCTTGGAATGAGTAAGAATTTTTTCTAACCATCGAGTGCTTTATAGCTCTATGTACCTACGTAGCATTCGCAACGGAATCGTAGAAACGGTATATCGAAGTATATTACAATCCTTACTGTTTGCACTACATTAAATTGGACAACGAAATTTCTTGTACAAAGATCTAAAGTTTCTTATCTTCATAACGAAAGGCAAAACATAAAAATTTAATTGTTTTCCTAACCTCATATGGCTTACTTGGTGGATTTGTACGACTGAGAATTTAAATATAACGATTTGACAGCCAATGTCAGCAGCCATATAGACGCATTTATTGAATAAAATCTGAAAGCAGAAAACTTCACAACTCCATAGAGCCTAAAAATCACCTACATAATGTTCGACTAGACGATATTTCGAAAATTCGGAAGAAATAAGGTACAAACTTCCACGTATTCAGTTTCTATCTGTACTCCTAATAATTGCCAACTATGAGAAAAATATCCCACATAAATTTACCTACCCACCGACAAAACGCTAAACCCAGTCATCATAGAAAGTAAAATTAACTTTCAGAGGGAGAAAGTTGCTCGGCATTAGAAATGTTATTTGAAAACTACGAAATTTAGCAGGTATAATCTACAAGTACACATTAGGGACGTGAGGCTTGGAAGATAAAAACTTGATGATAGGCTCAGGTACCTATCATGAACATGAATCCAGCGGAAAACACTTGCAAACGATTGCAGATACTTATGAAAAGGCTAAAGTCACACTTTAACGAATGGTAGAAATTTCGATTTCAAAATTTCCAGTGGCAAGTACAGAAAAACCCTTAGGAAAAAAATTCAAAGTCATATCAATATAGGATTCGAGCAAGAACACATTCGAAATATAAATCACTGTCGAAATCTCATCTCAGTCTATGAAGAATATAAAAGAATATCCTTTGGGTACTATACTGATCTCTCTAACGACGTCCCAAATCCCTGAGTTGTTAACCGAAATGATCACCTAAGGTGTAATGAACCATCAAATGGCAGCTCAACACAAACACTCCTTACTTTAAGCTGTTTCAGTAAACTAATAGTCACACAATCTTTACCATCACGTCCAGTAAGAATAAATAGCAATTAGTAGGTAGGCCGTTCGAACGGTATGCGCATGTGTGAGAGCCAATAAAACTAGCTTTAAATTGAAAAAATAAGGGCCACTTACAAAGTAAATCACGCCTATGAGATATTACCACTGAGTGCGAGCAATCTTTAAGAAATAACGAATATCAAACTCAGAGAGAGCTTTTGGACATAGTTTAGAGATATCAGACTTGGCTAACAATGTCGCACGTTAGCCGAAACATTTAGTGCCAAGTCAACTTTGGGATGAATCCAACATACTATAGATCCTCGTGATGCTTTGGTTTTTACAACATAAAGTGATATACTTAATGTATCCTTTATCACACAACGATGAACAAAAATGATGTTCCAACTATTTGTTACAATCTAATACCTATGATACATGAAGACAAATCTCCTAATTTTTCAGAACTACCCTGCATTTTGACGTAACCCAAAATACCAGGATTTTACGAACATTTATAAGTGGTTAAGTGCCATACGACTAACCAGCATATACTCATAATGAGAGACTATATGAATCATGTACAAAATGTCAAAAGTTGGTTCTGAGCAATATGCAACCGTAACTAGTAAGCATACCATTTAAGGTTGACTAAAAATCATCAGGATGTAAGTAGGAATAATGGGAGAAAATGCAATCATATTGATGTTTTGAGAATCGATAACTTGAAAAGGCCAAAAACCACATTGAAACCCAGTATCTTACGGAAGATGAAAAGCGGACACATATGTGCTACCTAAGTTACAACATACAACGACTAGTGAGCAGCAAAACATATGATAGTAAATACACCGTGAAATCCTGATACTAAGAATAGAAATTTAGGTGTCATAACGGATAATTTATAATATGAACACATAAACCAAGCTAAACCAGTTGTTAGAATGCCACTTATTTTTTTCATTGACCACCCTTATGAAACTAACACTTGAATTTACATTAATAGAGGGTGTATGTGGTTACTGCAAGTATAAATGAACTACTAGAGAAAAACAAAGTAGAAATGAGTAAAAATTTCTAAACAAGAAGAGTTCCTTTACATACCTGCGATATAAATACCCAATCTGAATTTGTGTGCACTTTAACGTACACGGGTTTGGAGCTTTGTTTAATAGATAGCTGACCACAGACATCCTAAAAATTGCCATATATGGCATATGGTGATAAAGTCCCGTAAGATTACTCCATAACTAATGGAAAAATTAATAAATTTCAAAGAATCTACACAGGAATACTTTAAAAAAGACAAAGATATTTTGAAGGCTAAGATTCTACTGTAAACAATATTAGATTGACTATATTAAGCCACATTAGAATCGAGTTTATATTCTAATAGAGATGACCTGTCACCTATGCACTGAAATTAACGTTAAAAATATCAACTTTGGTTGACAGATATAGATTATGAACCCATTGCTTTACCATAAATGCAAATTACAAACCTTTATGACACGAGAAACAAACTACTCCGCAATACTCAAAACATGCTCCTCAATCCAATATCCAATATTATTGAGACGATTAGGCACGTTTATCTCAATTTTCCTCTCTATTGTCTTAGTGTTGAGGAGTGTTCTCAGATACTCAGCAGGTTCGGGTAAGATTTATTTACAAGCGTTTCGGTTGGTGAGTGGAGCCCGTAGATGAGTATGTGATGTTGCTGTGATCATATATTCCAGTGTGGTGGGAAAGCTATCTCTCCATGTACAACTGCTAAAATTCGAAAATTAATCAAGGTGCATCTATGCTTTATTCTTACCATGCAGTCTCGAAAATAATCATATATGATTATAGTAGTGAGCTCTTAGCTCATTTCATATATTTCAATGGAAGAGAAGCTTATAGTCATTCAAAGTACAGGTATTGTCATTATTATCATCAATGGCATTATTATTGAGAACTCAATGAGTTCTGGAGGAACCATCTATCATACTGGACTTTTTAAACGTTACATAACTGATCACTGGGCGTTGAACAGTTCATCGTACAGCTTCAAGGTCAGGAACGACCAACAAGGACTAATAAATTGCACGCTATGAGTTGTGCCATGGTGCAGTGGTTCCATTCTGCGTTCCTATAATCTGTGCTTACGTAGTTTTTTTTTAAGGCTACGCCGTTCTTCATCTGCACAGTCATCAAAATGGGCAAAAGCACCTGGATGCCACGAATGATTATCCGTGCTGGTGATTAAGCGCGATCAGTAGACTGGACGCTCACCAGGACACATAAGTCTTGTTCGATCCGAGTAAACTCCAGTCATTCAAATAGATCACACAAATATTTCGCTTTCTGTTTTTGTTTTTTTACAGATAAAATGGTTGATTACTGACATTTTCAATTTGATATCGTTTGGGATAAGTTAAAGAGCATATTTTAATAATTTGATTTGCCTCCTGATTCATAAGACAGAGCGTTTAATTTGCAGCTTCAGATTGAAGCATCCAAATGTAATTTCAGTCACTAACTATTCAATGGTGTGGCGCATATGTATTTGGTTCCCTCCTGTACTAATACTTATGTGTTCAAATAAAATAAATAGATAAACTACGCAATGAAATTCATGTGAATACTACCGTGTGCAAATTACGTAATATATCCTCTCCTTGTGACGAAAATGCTTTATTTCACCTTAACATATTACTCTCTGACTCTCAGCGTTCACAAGCATCATATGGCTGTAAGTTTTACCATAATGTGGACAATGGGATGGGTGACTTGTGTAATTCCTGTCTGTGGAAGTTTCTCAGATGGTCTGGGTGTGTTTTTAAACCATCGAAGGATAAAGCTCCAAATTTTTACTGTGGTTGATAATCCATGGGCATGCCTACAGTCAGCTGATAGCAATTGGTCAGCAGCTTGTTGAATTTTTCAGACTGTCCCTGTAAACTTTCCTGATAAATCATAGTGCGAAGACGGCTTTTAGCGATTCCTAAATGACCTTGGGAATTTTTAAGCCGTCGAGAATATAGTTGTCATATGGAAATAATTCGTTGTGAAATAATTTACGGATTATAACCAGTTCTACATTATTTATGAACTTGTAGAATTATAGTATACATCATTATTAGTATCATTATAATAATGGACCTAATCCTAAAATTGTAGATTAGCCATGATGTGACCACTCAATCTACAAGATCTAATGTAGAAGTCACATCATTGTCTAAAATGACTCGTCCTACTTCTGAAGAACTCATTTCGACTGAGAATAGATTAAAATATTTAGTGTGAATAAAGGAGATAAGTTATACAGGAATGCTCACGCCTTCAAGGCTGAGCCATGTCATCCGACTGAATGCAAATTATTCTTCCCATCATCTTCATTGTTAACCTTCTCTTCGTGTCAATTGTTGAATGTAAATCTTTTCAGTAATTATACGCTCGGCTTCAAAGGTCGAATTTTTAGGGTCCGATGCCACTACAAACTTAGGTTCTCAAGCGGATTTTAAACACGATATGTCTAGCATGTCAATTAGCCCATATGGCTCGACATCATCTCACCTGTAGATGTTTTATAACGTCAAAATGTTTTTCAGTCTAGACCGTTTAGCTTCTATGTTGTTAGTGCGTAACCAGTTGTTTGATCCACAATACGCCATTTATAAATGACGACACGACGGAGATTTCCAAGTCTGCAATACCCTGACACGCTCTCCAATAGGCCGTGTAAACAGCTGTTCCTCATTTTACATATTATTTAATGATTGGGAGGACAGTTCAAGTATTTTTAATTCGAACATACAGAAAATATCGTTTTCTCATAGTTCAATCCTGAATTCCGGAAAACCTACCACTGGTACTGAGAAAAATGTTGCTTACTCAGTTTACCGTCATACTTCTCTCCGCCCTTGTTTCCTCTTCAAACAATAGTTTTTTTCAATTTGCTCGACCTTTACAACACCTCCGAAAAATACGTTCAGACTATTTAAAATTTTGAAACAGATACTTCGACAATTTGGATACATATGTATTAAGTTGGCTTTTGTCACTTTTATAAAGACAGTTGCTTGTCATAATCGTGCTTTCAGAATCCACTTGTCAACGATTAGCCTGATTTGTTTCAAAAAGATTTTGAAACTATGAATAAGCATAACATATTTTATTGGTATTTCATTGCGGAAGCTCTAGATGTCACGTTGATGGTTGTCATGAGGGGAGCAGAGTAGACTACGATGTTATTAGAATACTTACACGCATTCTAAACGGTAGACACTTCGATGTCATAAGACTATGTTTCACTATTATAACTAGTCTGAAAATCACACCAAGGGTCAAAGTAGCGTCAGACAGGACATATATATGATACGGCTCAATCATAGCATCTTAATAGGCTTTTAAAGCAACAAATATTGGTAGAAAATTTAGATTTCAGTCAGTATTGACGGAAAGTCATCTCAACGAAAACTCTGTCATTTCAAAAGGCGGTCCAATCACATGTCGTACAAAAGGTGGTAATAAGTGTTCATGTGGTGAAAACCAAAGTACGACTAAGAACAGTTGCTTTGTTGTCGATTTCTAACAATTTTAGCGAATAACATGATATCATATAAAACTAAAGGCAACCACAGGTGTATGTTATACAGTATATACAAAAAGCTCAGTGCAGTCGAATCACAAAATATAAAGTCGACAGATTGTTAAGGAACACAGTATTGTTTACTTACTAAAACGAAATAAACCTTACTGTCAGTCATGAGGCATCGTTTCATCTTTAATAGATAGGCTAATTTAATCGACTTGATGTGAAAGCAATCAAAACCTTAAGGGTCAAATCAGAAACTGCTTATCAGCAATAATAGGTTATCTTGAAAGAAATGGGAAGAAGTTCGATCAACATGGAAAGAAACAGACCAATTCATTCGAGAGGGAAAAGAAAAGTAAAGCGGCCATTCAAAATAAGAGAAGCCCAGATACGTTGTTAAGTAGATAAAATTAACGTGGTCAGTTAAACATAAACAAATATCAAAGACTGTAATCAAAAACTGTAGAACAAATTATAATAACTTTACCGTAACTAATAAGTAGGTATGATACACCTAATGTGTAGCGAGGCAGCGTATACTAGGATGTTACTTCCATATAAGATCTTTCCGACTAGGTAGTCACATCATGAAAACTCTGCAGTTTTTGGATTAGATCTATTATTATGGTGATGAAGACGAATGTACTAATAGCGAACTAGACAAAAATTTCAAAACTCTGTCCTCTTTTCATATTCATTTCGTGTGTAATGTGAAACACCTTACTCACCTGTACTATCTTCATGATTCTCCAATTCTGCATATAAAACAGTATATTTGTTCTCCCAAGCATCACCGCCTTCCTCATCTCTTATCTCAATATAAATTCGCTATCAGGCACCTGAAAGCCAGTGCTACGTTATTCCGAGGAATTCGGTTGTTGAGTGATGCAGTGTGCTGGAAATATTGGCTCCCGATTGACCGCTTTGAGATGTCTTCGGGTAGTACAAACATATTGATTTCGGTCAATCACTGGAAGTAAGATTTTCACTGACGCTTGTATATTCACCACGGTAAATGTAGATATAGCTTGAGAGTTACGAGAATTCCATTAAAAATCCTAATAACTAATTTGTTACTTTTCGGACACTTTTACTAGCGTTTATGCTGACAGTAGTGTTATTTCATCTGGTTACTGATTGTTGCCGTCACTTAGTGTTCCTATTGTGATGAAGTTCCGGATTATTCCATTCGGTTAAATCATGATTTGATGGGTATTGTGTAGTTCCTCACTTTATGCGTCTATAAACTGCCATATTCACAAGACCAGCAGCGATATCAATACGCATGCAGCAGTGGTGTTTTAATTTAGAATAAGAACAACCTAAATAAGATATGTCCACATTTTGAAAGGCAAGTCTACAGCGTCACAAATATTTTAACGGTATATTTTGAGAAAATGAACAATCTGATGTGTCATAAGAAAAACACTTTCTTAGAAATAAAACCCAGTACAATATTTGTGAACGACCAAATTGGATGTGTTGAACGGTTTAAAATTTGTGCGTGATCTAGACATTTCGTTTTATCAACATGAACAGATGTAGAGAAAGACGTTCTTCCATAGAAGTAGACGTCAACATCCACAAGGGAAGAGACAACATGCTCGTGTACAACGTAGTGAATAATGACCAAGTAACACTTTGTTGTTTCTTCTCACTAATGGATCTAGGAACGAAAGCGATTAAGGTGCTTTAATGCGATCAGTTCGTTTTCAAATCAGCAACTGCCAGTTACACACAACACATCAAAACCCTGACGGCTTTCACGCGAATACGTATTACAGTGAACTTGATATTCAAGGTAGAACAAACAACACAAAATTAATTGGTGCAACTGTTCATGATTTTGTAGAAAAATATGCCTTTTAAACGCAAAAATGTAGCGAGCTGAAAACAACAACAACCAGTTATAGGGCAAACGTCATGTGGGAAATCAAATTAAAAAAGAATTTGTTGAGCTGTTGTTGTCTATGGAGAGATGTTATCAATTAATAAAATTTGATCACTCTTGTGATCGCC